TCAATTTTTGTTGATTGAGCTTTTAAGAACTTTGTCTTAGGCTAGTGAATAGTGAAGCAGCAAAGAATTAATTACTGTGAAATGAAAGCGGAAGAATTGCAATATCACAATCACAATAATTTACACAATTGTTTCATTTAATACTGATTTTCAAGTTTTTTTTTTGTAAAACTTTTTTTTTTTGTATAACTTCACTTAACAACCGATAACACTGTATTCCTTTGCTTCAGTAATTATTTTGCCCACAGTCTTCTATACCAATCACACAAACAGAATTATGTAACGTTCTCCCAACTGTTGGGACTAAGACGCGGATTTTTAATTGCTGTTGTAACAACAATTTAGAGAAAATTGTTTGTAATTTGATTTAGTGTAAATATTTTTCATCCTTGTTCAAAACTTTATCCCCACTTCTTTAGCAGGTTATAATAAAGGTAAATCAATCCAAAAATTTAATATCTTACAATTAAATTTTAAGCTGCGCTTGTAAGCTTTTGAGAAAAAGAAATAAACATATATTTGCAATTTCATACAAAAACAATTTAAATTGCGTTATTATGAGATCAACATTTGCCTTATTAAACCAAAAGCGTTAAGCTTTCTTGAAATCGAAGCCAATGAACTCATTTAAAACCGGTTTCGGCAAACCCCATGAAATTTGCCATTGAAATTTGTAAAACATATTTACGCACAAATTTTAGCAGCGCTTATGTTGTTGTTGCAACTTGCATTTCATTTGGCAAGTTGCCACAATGCTATGGCACATTAAAATAAGCGAAAAAGTGCAACCAATACCCACTTTTTAATTGCACCGATGCGTGCTAATCGACGCTGCGGCATGAAAGTAGTCCGCGAAGAGTACGAAAGCGTTGATGGCCACATTGTGTCAGCTTGAAATTGAGGGCAGAATGCGTAAGAGATCAAGGACGTGTTGGCAATGTAATTGATTTTCGTTTTTCATTGAAAAAAATTAAAGTTAACTTTAGTTTTTTATTTTATTGAATTGAATTTAAATATACACGTATGTATGTATATATATTTTCATTATAAAAACTTATAAAATTTATTTAATTTTTTATTAGCTTATATTCTTTCAACTATCGGGCTGGGTGATTAAGTGATTTAACTGTTCCCACGACATACTACATTAAAAAATTACTATATTAAAAAATTAAGTTACAAAACGATTTCAAGTTTAGTTTTTAATTGATTTAATTTTTTTATTATTTTATATTGTTTCAGCTACCGGCTTTTGTGATTAAGTGGTTTAATTTAACGCAGTCAACAGCAACTTTAAGTGATTTAAGTATTTTTATCACAACATTAAAATATAAGCCCAATTTAAGTATCTGGCACTATTATTGTGGCGGCACTTATTCAAGTACTTAAATTTACTTTTTTATAAAAATACTTATTCAATTCAAATTTCATGTATTTTATCGACCAACGGAAAGTAAAAGTATTTATTGTTATCTAAACAATAATTTTATTATTAACAACACAGCAACAAATAAATAGTTTCGTATTACGGCGAGTTTTAATTTAATTTTGTTATTATTACCACTTTTCTTATTGCCTTTAAATTTTTATTTATATTATTTTTTTTTTTACATTTTAAGCCTTTACACACATAAGGCACTCAACAAGTGTCCGTTTACTACAAAACAACAAATTAATTACATATGTACGTGGCGTCGGCATTTTTACGATTTTCAACACGCAAAACGCAACTCACCCCAAATTGCTCTTGAATATAACTGAAAATATCCGGTTATTCACAGAAGTTAAACAAAAAAAGCTATTAAATTACTTAGCTATATAGTTTGTGGATGCAGCTTCTTCGAAATCGCTGGATTCGCGGACAATATGAACAAATCTACTCCCTGCTTACATATGTATGTACATATATTTGTGTGTTAATACAAATTGCTGACTCTTTTGTCAACTTTGTTAAGCAGAATTTGGCTGAAACCAGTTCTATCTATTTCTGAATCTCTTATTCAAATTGCAGATCAAATTGATTCAAATTTTCACCGGCAACACAGTTGGCATTAAACAGCTGCATTGCATAGAGTTAACAAACACACGCAGGTAACCGCATCTGCAATTCTATAGGTACTCAGAAACGAGTACCTGCGCTCCAGTGTTAGTCTTTAGTATTTCCAGATATTCTACAAAAACGCTGCACTGTGCTGCGAGGACGCACAACAAATAAATCATTAAGGCGCAGTAGACACAACAAAAATCTATTTACTCGTACTTACATATGTATGTATGTATACTGCTACGTAGAAAGTATATGTAAATGTGTCGCTATGGATGACCTTAAAGTATAGTTATTTTGCGATAAGCGGACTACTAGTACCCGCAAGGTATACCCGAAACATATTCAACACTTTCAATGGAATGGTTATTGTGTTTGAAAATTGACGACAACATACATATGCACATGTGTACGAAGGTTAAACTGCTAAGAGCAAAAGAGCTTATAGAGGAAACCGCTGAGTCAAATAAAAATTAAACTTTCCAATAACATTTAGTGTAAGGAGCTCTGTACATAAGAGTTTGTAATGTCATATACATACATATACAAAATGTATGAATTATTAGTTCATTGTATATTTTGAAGAGAATATGAGTTGTAATTTAGAGATGGCACGGGGAAAGATGGCATCAATCTCTTTCGATTTAACGCCGCTCAATAATGTGTGGAATACAATGCTCGCGACATCTGTTAAATATTGAAATACACACGTTCTTATGGACGGACCTATTTTGACAGCTGTACGACTACACGACGGCAGGCCGACAGTTGTCGTTCTCGCTAACTTCAATTTTATCCTATATTTGCCAACGACAGTAGAGTTGACAGTAGAATGGAAGATAGAGAGATGAGGTAGACTGGTGATGCCACTAATATGTAAAATGTAATATTACTCAAAGCTCTAACAACATCATTTATAATAACAATTGATAATTTAAAACAAATAAATTTACCTATTTACTTATATTTTGCTTAAACATTTCACTTTGATCAAAATATTAAAATTTCATTGAAGTGCAAGGTATTAGTATTGCCACAACGAAATTGTGTACATGCAAAATGGACAACTCCGTTGTTTTGTGTATATGCCGACCATTGTTATGTTGCTGCCCTCTCACAAACGTTCATGTAGTAGGATTCACAACGCCGTTTTCAGTTCACATTCGTGCTGCTGCAGTCTGTCGCGAGCATTCTGTTCCGCGCATAACGCTGTGCAAAGCAAGTAGCTGCCAACTTGGCTGCCACTTGCCAGAGAGCCTACAAACACAATCATACCATGATCGCAGCTACGTATAGATGTACGTATGTATGAACAAGTGCTCGATTCACTCAGAAATTTTTAAACATTATTTTATTTTAACATTTCTAGGTTAGGAATTATGAAAACGGAATCGCAAGCATGAAAGTCTACCTTGTGACTGGTGAACACTTTTCACTTTAGGAAAAGGACTGGCGGAAAGCGGGGATGTTTTCGCTACACATGCAATGCTGTCACCGCTCCCACCAGTTTGGCTAATTAAATATGTGTATGTGTATGTGTATATGCAAATAACATTAAAACCCTTTTAAATTTATAGTATATTTGTTGCTTCGGTTGATTTTATGAAAGCTAAATCATATTATAAAACCGTGTTTTAGGCATTCAAAAATGTAGTTTGTGGAATTGTGCAAATTAAAAAGTTCGTTACATAACCAACTGACAAGCACAGTGCCGAGTGGTATCGCGAATTAAGAGAAAAATCAATGGCTCAATAGCACGTCAGTAGAGTTGATTTTACGCTTCACCTTCCGGTCACTTTTTCACACACATTTCCTATTCACACTCTAAATAACCATATTCTTAAATTAAGTGAATAATACTATATATTAAAAATGTACAATACCTTTTTGCTTTGTATACTTCTTACAAAAGAGACACAGTGAAAAATTCTTTTGAAGAATATCAGATTTTCCCACTCGGCGTTGACAAGTCGCGTGCTCGAGCTCGTGCGGCTACACTTGAAATGAAAGAAAACGAATTCGTCTCCGAATATGTTCGTAGCTCTGCGAATAAGTGGAACAGTTGGAAATGGGCTAATGTGTCGAAATGCCATTGATTTTCGTCACCCTGTCCTACTAAGCGGTAGTAACACAGAGTGCAATTTGTTTGGTTAGTTTATCGAAATATTTATAGTATTTTGAGTTTATGTACCTAATAAATCATATTCACGTATAGTATATATTTCGTGGCACTACATTATTTCGATTATCTTCAGGGAATTGAAAATTTACAGACGTATTTTCAATGTCATGCATACAGAGTGGATGAAGAATTGCCTCTTATCTTAGTTTATTCAAAATATCGCTACTCTATGTGGTTTAAGTATTTCTGGATACATATAATACATATCTCCATCATTCGCAATGTGCCTTGAGATACTCTGAAATTTCGATTATGAAGAAATCCAAAATCGATAAAAAAAAAATATTAAATACACATCGCACATTTGCCGATGAAACGTCAAAAGTCGCAAGAAAAAGGCCAAATTGTATTGTTTCGTTAACGTGACTGCACGAGTTAGGTAAATTTAGATACATCTTTGAGCATATAATTTTTGTATAAAAACGTGTGGCTAATATACTGAAAATCTAACATTCACATTTATACCAATTTTTAGTAAAATTGCCACAAAATGTCTGGTCGCGAGGGTGGTAAAAAGAAACCATTGAAGGCACCGAAAAAAGAAAGCAAGGAGATGGATGACGATGAGATTGCCTTCAAGCAAAAACAAAAGGAAGCACAGAAAGCGCTCGAGCAAGCAAAACAGCGCGCGTCACAAAAGGGTCCATTGGTGGGAGGAGGAATCAAGAAATCGGGCAAGAAATGATAATACCGCAGGCATATTTGTGAATCGATTAATGTTCATTACTACATAAATGTTGCACATCCTACACAGATGCAAAACAAAAAAATATGTAAAATTGCCGAGTAAAAGCAGACTTTATTTAATAAATTTTTGTAAATAAAATAAGAAAACGTATGTTAACATGTTGTGTTTGTACAACTGTTTATATCTCGTACCACGCAAATTCAGTCAGTTTATTGACTTGCTCCAGTTTCGGAAAACTCGCTTGTGTACCCGGGTGTCTTACAGAGTAGGCAGCAACTTGGTTAGCTGCGCCTATATGTTGGTGCCATGGAAATTCTGGATAATGCGCCATATAGTATGCTAATGCACCGATAAAAGCATCACCTGCACCGGTTGTATCGACAACGTCATTCACTTTAACTGCCGGTACATGTATAAACGTCTCTGGTTCTTCACGTCTAGCATAAACTGCACCCATTGCGCCTAATGTGATAATTACATTGTTAGCGCCCATTTCTAGTAGATGTTCCACTGCTACTTTGGCTTGCCTAGAACCATAAAAATATTTTTTAAAGTATCAACAAAAATCATCATGCTTAATTACGTTAGAGTTGATATCTGCTCAGAGCCCGTTGTTATAGCTGCTTCGGTTTCATTTAGGCATAATATGGTAGCGGATTTTATTAAATCAACTGGTGTGTCTTCAACTGCAGGTGCTGTATTAAGTATGGATATGCCTTTAAAAGCTCGCAAAGCTTCTAACGTCGCATCAAGTGGCGTCTCAAACTGGCATATTAGTACCTTTATTATATAAAGGAACACACAAGTATACTTGTGAACTAAAAATTCATAATCATTGTATATTATCTTACTTTGGCCCTATCGAACAATACTTTTGCTTTTTTGACATCATCGCCACTCAATAAATTGTTTGCTCCAACAACGATAACTATGTGATTTTCTCCACTATCCGAGACACATATTTGGGCAATACCTGTCGTCTGTATTATTAAAATAAAATAGCACCCTTTTTAGATAAGATACATTCAATAACTAACCTCGTTTTTGCATTGCTGGATAAAATCAACATTCACATTCTCTGACCGCAGTTGTTCTAAGTAATTGTTGCCCCACGTATCATCTCCCAACTATAAAAAAAATTATTATTTATTCCATTTGGTAAATGTAAGTTTGTTGTTTCTCACTTTTGCTACCATTGCTGTACTTGCACCAAGTCGAGCTGCCGCAACACATTGATTTGCACCTTTACCACCAAATCCTGTCATGAATTTGTGGCCATGTAGTGTCTCACCAGCTTTTGGTAGCCGGTTGGCGTATCTGTGAATAAATTTGTAGAAATTGGTATTGTCACTAATATGTTTATATATATGTATGTATTTACGCGACGAAATCAACAATTGCTGAACCAAACACGAGAACATCCATTGCTTAATATTTTTATAGGTTTTTGGCCAAATAATGTTTTTGTTAAATTTTGGATTTTTTTCTCTTCAAACTCCTGTTTTCAATTGTGTAAATATGCATGTAAAAATTTATTATTTGTCAGTATTTTCTCCTCAGATTTTTACAGTCTGACAGCTGCAAATTCAAAGTGACTATTTTTAATGCGATTATCTCGTCGATTCTCATTATTTATTTGAAAACGGATGTTTTCACATTATCGCAATTATATTCATATACGAGCTGATAACAAAATTCAATACTTAATGCAACTACCTGCACCTACTAATTAAACACCTAAATTGGCACTTATATATATATAAATATGTGCTTATAAGATAGAGATTTTTTCAATTTGCAATTACTTTTAAGATAAATAAAACAAATTATTTATAAATTCATGTTAGCTATCAACGTACAAGCTTAAACACCATCCTTTAATATTCTGACGCATATGACCTTACTAATAGTGTTGTATTAAAAGATCACAAATGAGATAAGCACATTTTGTAAATGCATATTTTTAATTATGTAAGCCTACTATGTACATTTATTAATCCATCACACATTTTATCAATATTTACAAAATGTAATAATATTATGACAAAAATTTATATTAATGTGTGTATAAAAAGTTTGAATGCTTTAACCAATATGCAAAATCATTTGTTTTTGATTTGGAGAGTATTTTAATGTTGATAGGGCAACAACAAAACTATCATAGTTAAATAATCTTTGTAGACATTGGAGGGCCTTAAGCACAGCTTTTTTAAATAAAGTTTTGTAATAACACTAAGCTCCTATGAGGAAAGTTATAATTTTTTTATATGCACATTTTTTAATAACACATATGTGAACATTTATATAAGTTTACATGACAATTTTTTATTGTTTATTTTTAATAAGTAATTAATGTTCATACGCTAAATAAAATTGGGTGGTGCTGGATTCAGCAATATAAAGTTATTATTTTTTTTATTTAAAATTATGATATAATTAATAATAATTACTATATACATAGCTACTTTATAAAAGTTAAACAAAATTAAGTTGATATTAGATTTACAAAAAGGAAACGATTCTGTAAATCTTATGGTATGACATTATTTTTTTATAAAATAGTAGAAATTCACAAAATTATTTTTATAAATTTATAATAATTTATATTCATAGATGTTTTCAAATATTTTCCCTACAGTATAAAGCTGATATATACACACGGTTGTAAATAATGCAAACAATAAAAAATAATTCAATTAACATTTAAATTAAATCTTTATTCTGTAATCTTAAGTACGGGATAAAAAAACTCAATCCCACATCCCAGATTAAACAAAAAAATAAATAAAAATCCAACTACTGTATTGAGAAATAAAAAAAAATTAAGACTTTAAAAAGAAATTGTTTAAGAATTAAAATTCTTTTACATTTGCGTACTTAATTCAAATTAAAAACAAGATGCTTCAAATTTTTAATCCTAAGCATCTTTGTTAAAAAATTAAAAATCTAATCCCAACATCGGGATTAAAAAAATAAAAATCTAATTTTAAATCCCAATATTGAGATGAAAAAATT